CATCATCATCGAATTATAAGTAACCTTGCAATTCTTCCTCAATCGGAACTGCGTAAGTACGACCATGACGATGGCACTCGACATTCTTGACGTGATCGGATGCACCACCTTCGTGCACAAAAGATTTGCCCGAGCTTACCACAAACGAAGGGGATGATGTGTGCTGCCCGAAATGTCGGCATGAAGGAGATGCATGCGCTGCCGGCTGTGGTGGTGGCACGTCGGGTGGAAATCCATGCTCAAAGTCATATGAAAAACCATACACGGGATGGTACATTAATAAAGGCTTAATATTAATGGGTTCAGAGTTTACCTATCTAGTGCATCAGAAATGACGGAGCGACGTCTGACATCGAATAAGAGTACGAACCCAATGGCATAGAGTAGAACGTAGGGGATGCCATCAATGAAGGGCAGCTATGTCACAATCTAGATGGACTGGAAGAACTATACAGGTAGATAACATAATCGGTCGAAGATGACGCAATAGAGGAAGGACTAGAAGACACGTGAATTGGCTCCGTCTCTTGAAAAAGTAGAGCGAGTGGTACTGGTTACTGAGCGCGTCGGCTACCGTGACGAGGAGGAGCAGGTGCTTGTAGTAATGAATCAGAGTCGCTCAAAAGTTGAATGAACACCAGTGCTGCGGAGCGGTGACGTCCGCTCTTGAGAGTGACTGGCGGTTGAGATGAGGCGTTGCTTTGGTTTCGGGTACGCACCATTCTTGCATGGAGAAGAGAGAGATAGATTGCAAGCGGTGATGGGTTGATAAATCTTAAAGAGCAGCAGTAGAATAGATTATCGACAACACTGGTGAGCAAGGAGGAGCAGCGAGCTGATGGGGTGAATTATTGGCCGATTTTTTTTGTGAGTTTTCATGCGGCTAGGGTAGCAAGATAAAAAGAAGAAAAGTTTTTTTTCTTCTTTGGGCACGTGGGGTTTAGTAAAATAGGAAAAAAGTTTTTCCTGTAGAGGAATTTGAAACAAATTAGGAAGTGGGGTTAGTTTAAAGTTTGAATTTAAGATAGGATGAAGGATAAAGGAGTCCCACATAAGTTATAATTGGTGGAAAAGGGCAGCTGAAAAGAGAATGTTGGGTTTTATGGGGGAGGGGAAATAGGGCGGTGTCAGCAGAAGTGAAACAAAATAGGAAGAAGGGTTTTGCTATCTTGCGTTGGCCTTGTATGGGAAAGGCTAACATACATCGTTTAATGAAACGGTGTGCATAAATGAAGGGGTGGTTCTTTTCATGGTCCGCGCGACTCTTCCCTATCTAGGGAACGAATTTTGCTTTGTTCGACCAACGTACTGCTCTTAACTTCATTCAAATTTGATTAGGATCAGTGGGTACTTACAAAATTAAAAATAAAAATAAGTAAAACGTTAAACGAAAATAACGAATAAAAATAAAAAATAAATTATACAAATTGAATTAAAAATGGGTTACCTCCCATAAAACGCTATTTTTAACGTCGTTAGCTCGACGATCTGATTTCAAATTACAGGTTCCTCTAGTTCAATTTCTTCGATTAAACCAACCATACCATTTTCATAATACGACTTCAACCTTTGACCGTTAACTTTAAATCCAACTCCTGATTTGTCTTCAATTTCAATTGTGCCATGAGAGAATACTTGAATTACAATGAAAGGTCTGAGCCTCTTCGATCTAAGCTTCCCTGCAAAAAGTTTAAACTTAGAGTTGGATTGCAAAACCTTTTTTCCGACAGAAAATGATTTAAAAAAATTCTACGATCGTGAAATTCTTTATTTTTTCTTTAAATATCTAAACACTGTCGTTAGTGTTTCTATAGATTTCTTCATGCTCCTGAATGTACAACTTTCGTACTTCGCCGATTGCGTCCATCTCTATGTCACATTACTTAACTACCCAATACGCTCGATGCTCCAATTCTATCAAAAAATGGGACAGTTTACTGAAGACAAGGCGATACAGAGACATTCCAATGGGGGCTTTATAAGCAGTTCGATATGCCCACAATACATCGTCTAATTTGAGACTCCAATCCTTACGGTCTGGTTTGACGATCTTATCAAGAATTGACTTAATTTCACGATTTAACACTTCTGTTTGCCCATTTTTTTATGGATGGTAAGCCGTGCCAATTCTTTGAGTCACATCAAATTTTTTCATAAGTGCTTTAATTATCCAGTTAATGAAGTGAGTTCCTTGATTGCTTATTATCGCCTGCGGTATGCCAAACCTGGAAAAATTACAATTTTTTTAAAAAAATTAATTGTGGTTCTAGCATCATTATTTCATGTGGCTTTAAACGCTACCAATTTAGAAACATAATCGACTACAAGGATAATTTAAGTATTTCCAAATGAAGAAATAAAAGGACCCATATAGTCGATTCCCTAAACTTTGAAAATTTCAAAAATATGAATCGGATTGAGAGACATTTTGTCCTTTGAATAAGATTGCCTATACATTGACATCTTTTATAAGTTTTGCAAAATAAATAAGAGTCACAAAAGATGGTAGGCCAAAAGAAACCACACTCAAGAATCTTATGGGTAGTTCGCTTTAGTCTGAAATGATCACCACAAGAGTAAGAATCACTACAAGAAAAATATACCTTTAATGACACACGAACGATGACACACGCTAGTTTATGACTTGCAAAAAATGTGTGTCATAAAAAATGTCATGTTTTTTAAAATCTGAACGATTTATGACTTACAATAATGTGTGTCATATTTAATAGTCATAATCTAAAAAAATTTGCAAAAACATGGAGTACAGTTTTAATTGTGTGTCATCTGTAAAAGTCGTATTTTAAATTCCCCCCATTATTTTCATCCTTTCCCCGCTTCTTCTCCCTCGATAACAAAATTCACGCCGCATGCTTCCCCCATTTTTCTCTTCCACTTCTTGTTCCAGGAATCGGGTATATCAAAGGTTCCCATTCTTAATCCCAATATCCTCTCTTTTTTCCATTTTCTTTGGGAACAGAGGGTATGGCTTCCCTACTGTTGCTTTTGGTTACTTCTTTGTTGCTTCTCGCCACGGTTCACCAAAAGGTATTTCTGATTTTTCTTTCGTTTGCGTTCGATTTTTCTTTCGTTTTTCTGGGTTATATATGTGTGTGTGTAGATTTGATACTATTTTTGACTTCAATAAATGGTAACGATAAATAAGAATATACCAGATCGGTTTTCAGTATTTTAGATTGAAACTCTTAAATCGGTGACTTTTTTAAGATGATAGTGGTGAAAAGCCGATTGTTCCTTTTATTAGTTAACCATGTGTTCGATGAAAGGATATAAACTAGTTCAGTATAAACTGAAAACAAAAATGGTTTTCTTTGGGAGAATTCAGGGGAGCTTATTTGCTGCTGGTAGTTTTGCTTTTTTATGTATGTTTGCCAATTGTGGCTTTGTTGGCTGATCAACTATTTGATTAGATTATCATTCAGTCCCCAAAGCTGGAATTTGGACTTAGTTGATATTGTATTGTCAGTAGGTGATTGGTGTGGAGCAACTTTCAAAAGTCAAGCTTAACTCTCGGATCTTTCAGGTATTAACTCAAATTGAAGCGTTGAAGGAGGGAAAAATAATTGTTGCCCTATTTGTTTTAAAATAAACTGTAATTGTATCCCCCTTTTCTTTGGTAATTTTTGCTCTCTGTTTTTTTTGTTGAATGTTGCTTCCTGCGTTTTTTCCCGTTTTGTTTTCAATTATGATGTGGTTGTATTAAAAGGAAAATGCCGATAAATGGGTTTTCCTTTTGAGATGAATTGTTAATGAGCTTGTATATGCAAATATGGGTTTTGGATTCTACTTTACTTATGAGCTAAAATATTTAGGAAAAGAAAAAGAAAATTTAAGTTGGGATATTTAATTTCAACCTTTACAAGCTTCCGTATTTGATGCTAAAAATGGGATTTTTAAATTCCATTTTTGTTGCCTATGTTTTTGTAGTAATCAAAAATTATTAGGTTAGATAAGTTGGTTCTGTTTGTTTCATTGGCTAGTGTGTAAATTTCGTTTTTACTCTCATGTTCAATGACCCTTTTCAATCTTATACAATATGAAGCTTTTTTAGGCAGTATGCTTTGTTCTCATCTAACCACTGTCCAAGAAGACGTATAGAGAGATCAACCGCGTGGTGGAAGAGTTGTTGTGGCTAGAACTCGTTCGGCTTGTTGATTGGTGGGCGGGTGTTAAGGTGTTAACCAACTCTTTTATTTCATTGTTTAATTCTGAAATCTTGTTTGAAGATATTACTCCTTTTGGGCATTTTTGAAGATATCATAGTTTAATTCTGAAATCCTTTCTGCATTGTATTGTTTTAATCCTGAAATCTGAGACAACATTTATGATGACCAAATGCTTAAATTGTTTTATATTTCCATTTCCATCTAGACTTCAAAAAGTAGGTCTCCAAAATAATTTTTGCATGCTAAGTACCAAGATGCAGAATCGAGTTAAAGATTCTCTCTGCTTCGTTTGGGATTCTGAGTGTGGCAAACTTTGTTGGGTAAGTTATATTTAGGTGAAGAATGTTTGGCCAACTCATATTTTTGATGTTCAGAGGCATAAAGATCGGTGTATTGTCAATTCATCTAGATTTTAGGCAAATAATGATTTGAACAGTTGTTGTGAAGTTTCCTATCTTCTCTAAGGGTTGATAGGTGTTATGTGAATAAGTTGTTAATTATTGACTTTTATTGAGCCAACCAGGATTTAATGTGGAAAAAGAATCGGTACCATGAATGCCATTTCTTTAGCTGTCTCTTGAAAATTAACTTTAAATCTTTGATACATTTTATTTGCAGATTGAAGTTTTTGCAGACCATGAAAGCTTCAATTTTATGGGTGACGTCAATTTCCTCTACTAAGAAACTTAGGTGTTGGGCTTAGAGTTACATGGATAATGGCTATTGTTCTATCCTAAATCTTTTGAATCATTTACTTGCCATCTGATATTGTTGATTTTTTCAGGTAAGGAACATGCCCTTGTCTTATCCAGTCACATAAGTGATATCGATTGGTTAGTTGGATGGGTTTTGGCTCAGGTCTGTAATTAATGTATTCCAACTCAGAAAATTTTACATACTGTTGAAACATCCATTCTAAAACATATTTGGCTGTGCTCGGAAATTTTCTACTTGGCATTTTAACTTTGTTTTTTTCTCTTAAAATTCTTTCTGGGCTAAGATACAATTACATTTTCTCTTGACAGCGATCAGGTTGTCTTAGAAGTACATTAGCTGTTATGAAGAAATCATCAAAATTCCTTCCGGTATGTGTTGGTGTTATTCGTTTGAAGTTACAAATTTCTATCATGAGATTGTGTTTGTCACCATTTCTTTTAGTTTCATATGATATTCATATTTTGTTTAACTGGTAATAGCTAATAACAATGGCATGTGTATGGTATTTTCATACACAGTTGTCTGTGCTTGAGCTACATGTTAATGTGTATAAAGTGTGAGATGTAATTATTGCAATAGGTAGCTAATGAGATAAAAAAGAATATTAAGTTGACTAGTTTGACATTCTGGTCAATCTTCCTCAATTTTATCCTATGTAATATTAGCTTATGCTTTTAAAATTGGAATATGATTGTTCACTTGAAAATCTAGTATTCTTAGTCATAGTAAGAACTTTGGTTTGCTTATCATGTGTTAAGTGAGTTTGTCTGGAGTATGGAGGGATGACCTTAAAATTTTCATGAATATGGTCATATAATTTTAAGAAATTTACCTGGGTGATGAATAAACAAGCTTCCTGTCGAAGCAGCAGTTTATTCCTTTTCTTATCTGCTTTTGTTTAACTGACTCAAATTCTGATTGTTAACATTTTCGTCTTCCTTTATTTTTACCTAAATCAAAATTATGAAACAAATGCTATTATGAGTTTCTATAGTTAATTTTGTTCTTTATAGTGACAATTAGTGCTGGTCTTTTGAAGATAGGCCATGCAGTGAAGTAATTGAAGTCTAGATTTTCTTTTACTTTATTTGCCATCTGTGAATCTCACTGTATAAAGAAGCAAGTTTAATTTAGTTGTTCTTAGTTATGAAGAATATAACCATGTCTGATTGTGCAGGTCATCGGTTGGTCAATGTGTTTTTAGTCAACTAGTTTGCTCATTTCTTTTTGTAGGACATTCTAGAAGTGAAAATTTATGCTTCATGTAGCAGTTTTATTTGGATTTATTTGTAAAACCACATTAGTACTGAGAAATTGGATGGATGTGGGACCTGAGATCAATTCTTATATTTGAATATGAAAAATTTGCAATTCTTTTGAATGATTTGAGAATCTGCTGCTTATTTTTATAAAGACATTTACTAGATCTGTGTGTCTTATTTCTAGGTGATTATTCTTGCATATACATGGTGTATTTGTATCAGATTATTGCTTCTTGGGATATATGATTCTTAATCCCTTTGTTCTTATCTTTTCAACCAAGGCTGATTATTTTCCATTTTTTATTGCATATATATGATTCTCTACTGGAATATCTAAACACTGTCTCTCTTGCCTCAAAAAAGGATTATCAAACAAACATGTGTCCTTAATCGTATCCCTGCAACTAGGGGAAGTTAATGTCTGCAAGCATTAAGAAAGCAACTTGGAACCTTCAGCTTTTTCTTTTCTAAATAACTTCACGTTGTATTCCAGATTGATTCCTAGAGTTCTTTAGTTAACTGTTAACTCAAACTTGATGGTTGATGAAACACAACTAGAATCAGGAAGCCTCAATTCCATTGGAATTGAGAATACAAAGTTGCTGAAAAATCTGATAGAGTTTCAAAAAGTAAGCTGTCACTTGGTTTGTTGAAACATGAGTGCATGTTTGTGCATAAATATACTGGACCATGGAAGGTGTTTTCAGAAGTTTAATATGCATATTAGGAATGTGTTTGTTCTATATATTGCAACTAGTTTTAACTGTTACAATTATTTTCAATTATTTCTTGTGTACACTCCCGAATGATGATGGCATATTAGTAAAACTTTATTATGCCGTGATATTTTGTATCGACATATGATTACAATATTTTTTATAACTTAATGTGAATATATTGTATGCAAATGGATTTCTTATATATAATATGATATATATATATATATATATAGTATTATGAGGCATTAAATGTGATTTAGTTTGATTATTTGTCAATCTACAATATATATATATATATATATATATATATATATATATATATATTTACGAAATACAATCACGATACACGAATGTGTGTCATCTTTTTTAATGACGTGTGCTTCAATGACACGTAATGTAAGTCATACATGCGTGTCATATATTTATGACACACAAATGTGTGTCATCTTAATTTATGATGGGGGCTTCAATGACGCTCAATGAACGTCATAAATGCGCGTCATAAAGGTGTGTCATAAATGTGTGTCATAAATGAGCGTCATAAATTTATGACGCACAGTTGCGCGTCATCTTAAATTCATGTTGGTGGCTTCAACGACAGGCAAATGTGTGTCATCCGCACCAATAGATGACGCACAATGCGCGTCATTAAAGGGGTTTTTTCTACTAGTGAATGGAAGAAATTTAATATTAAATTTACCTCATCTTCAGTGGCACATCACCAAATTACATGATTCAAACAGTGCTTCCAAAGTTAAGGATCATCCCAATTGTAAAATCGAGATTCTCTCTTTATCTGTTTGATTTCAACCATCGACAAATCAAATGGCAATTTATCTGTGGCCAAATAATTGACTATATCCACAAACCAATGGGTAACTTTCTGCGCCACCATTAGATTTTCTTCGAGGAATTCTTCTCAAATTGGTGGTTCAAATATGGAGAGGAGAATACGACTCAAGTGATCAGCTACCAGATTTTCAAACTCTTTTTTATCTTGAATTCACAAATTGAATTCGTATAGGAGCAAGATCCATTGGATAAGTCTTAGGTTCACCTCATATTTGCTCATCAAATATCGCAAGGTTGCATGGTTAGAAACAATAATTTTAGTGCCAAGCAAATAAGATCTGAATTTTCTAAAGCAAAAATTATAGCAAACAATTCTTTTTTCGGTCGTAGAATAATTTCTCTGAGCCGAATCCAAAGTTCGTGATGCGTAGGTTATGACATGGAGTTCTTTACCAATTTTCTGACTAATAATGGCTCCAACACTTGTATCCGATATGTCATACATAAGCTCAAAAGGGTAGTCCCAATTTGATAGTTTTACAATCGGAGCTAATACAAGTTTTTCATTCAAAATGTTGAATGATTCCTTGCACTCGAATTGAAATCAAAAGCTTGATCTTTCTGCAGTAAATTGCACAACGGTTGTACCAGTTTTGAGAAGTCTTTAATGAACCTGCGGTAGAATCCTACATGACCAAGAAATGAACGAACTTCCCTTACGCATTAAGGGGTAAAGGAGTGAGCGTATGATATCAGTCTCCATTCGAAGAAACGATGTGGTCTAGAATTAACCCCTTATCAATCATAAAATGGTATTTTTGTAATTCAATACGAGGTTAAATTCTAGGCATTGTTTAAACATATTATTTAAATTTAAAAGGCACTCTTTAAAAGAGTTATTGTACACACTGAAATCATCCATGAAGACTTCGATGCCTTTCTCGATGTAGTCCCTAAAAATGCTAAGCATGCATCTCTAGAACGTGGCGGGTGCATTGCAAAGTCCGAAAGGCATGCAGTGGTAAGCAAATGTGCCAGAGAGACAAGTGAAAGTCGTCTTTCCCTAATCTTTTGGCACCACTGGGATTTGGAAGAAACCTGAAAACCATCAAGACAACAATAATAAGTTTTACCAGCTAATCTCTCTATCTTTTGATCTATAAAGGGAAGAGGAAAAATGATTTTTTGAGTTAACGAGTTCAACTTCCTGTAGTCGATGAAAACTCTCCATCTATTATGTACTTATGTTGGAGCTAACTCACATTCCAAATTCTCAATTACCGTGACTTCGGTTTTCTTTGGAACCACATGGATCGGACTTACCCAATTACTATATGAAATTGGGTAAAATGATATCTATATCAAGAAGTTATAGGTGGATTTAACTGGCGTTGTCCCTCTCATGACGACTTTGCTCTTTTGATCTTGATTTTATACATAGAGTTGAGGGACTAAGTCCTTTAATATCAGCGATAGTCCACCCAATGGCTTCCAAATGCGCACGCAATATCGTCACCAGATCTTCATCCTCTTCTTTTGACAACTTGTTTGAAATAATCACTAGTAAAGTTTGTTTTTCTCCAAAAAGTACATACTTTAAGTGTTTCGACAACTACTTCAAATCGATTTGAGGAGCCTATAAAATAAAAGGTAAAATTTTAAAGTTTGAGGGAATAAGTCATGAATCAAAATAAACCATTTTTTTCTCAAACTCCCTGATTTCTTCATCAAAGTCCCTCAATTCCCTACATAAATTATCAACAAAGTTAGATTCTATAAAATCATCAATGAGAGGCTCAATAACATCAATATAATTTAAACTAGAAACATTATCAGGATATTGCATTGCTTTATATGAATAAAATATTACGACCTCATCGTCAAACTCCATTATAAGAATTCCATTTCTTACATCGATTTTCGTATGCGTCGTACTAAAGAAGGGACAAACAAGAAGAATTTCTAAAGAAGTATTTGTCTGGACATTTTCCATGTCAACGACATAGAAATTTGCTAGAAATATAAGCTCGTTTACCTTAACTAAGACATTTTCCAGGAGTCATTCGGGATAAATTATCGATCGATCCGCTAGTTATATAGTCATTCTCGTATCCTTAAAGGGCACAGTAGAAAGTGAGTTGTATACATATAAAGGTATTACATTTATAGAAGCTCCTAAATCAAACATTGCACGTTTTATTCCAACCTTATCGATCTTACAAGGGATAGAAAACATAACTTGGTTCTTCAACTTTGGTGGAAGTCGTAGCAGAAAAATTACGGAAACATGCTCTCCCAGATTTACTTTTTTGTTCCGGTAAATCTTACTTTTATTGTGTAGAGATCTTTAAGAAATTGAGCATACCTCGAAACCTTTCGAATAACTTCAATGAGAGATATGTTGATTTCAAATTTTTGAAAAACTTCCAAAATTTCATTCTCCTTAGCTTGTTTATCTCTTTTTACTAACCTCGAGGGGAAATGAGGTGGAACGACATAGAGAGATGGTGCCAGATCGGATTGTGAGTCATTTTTCTTCATTTTCTATGATCATGTGACAACTATTTCTTCTTCCCTTTGGGATTTTGGCTCTTTTTCTTTCTTCTGGAATCTTGCTACTACCTCATCTGAGATTGATTATGTGACAACTATACCCTTCTAGAGGGTGATGGCGCTTACATTCTCTCATGGGTTCGTCTCAGTTTGAAATGGAAGTTTACATTATGATTCTAAGCGCCCCACAGTCTGATCCAATTGACTAATCTACTTATCCATCTCTTGTAAATGCGCTTCAGGACGATTCTAGAACTTTTCCTGGGAAATAGCTAATTGCTCGATGATTGATTCAAGTGATGACTTCTGCGGTTGATAAGGTTGTAGTGGAGGTGGCCTTGGTTTATAGGCTTGATTAGGCCTCAGTTTCTGCACATAACTAAAATTTGGATGATATCTTTATCGTGGGTTGTATATATTTCCATGAGGGTTGTAAGGCCTTTGGGGAGGTCGTCCCGAAAAAATTCCCACCACATTTTATTGTGCGTCAGCTTCTTCCTGTAGCATTAGGTAACATAATTTTGGATGGTCTGGCATTGTGCATACTCTCGTTGCTCTGATATTTCCTACAACAAGTGAATTAACTACGTCAGTTAATTTATCAATCTTACTTTCAAGGGAAATATAACTTATCTCATAAACCCATCGATTAGGTTCATTTGTAAAGCCAAACTGTTGATAGTTGGTTGTCATTGTGAAAATTAATTCCCTTGTTGCATTCAGGGTCATATTGATGAGAGCTCCTCCACTAGCAGTATCGACCATCTTCATCTCTAAGGGAATCAACCCTTTATAAAAGTACTAGAGAAGTAATTTTTTTGTTAATCCGTATTGTGTACAACTCGCACAAAGCTTTTTGAATCACTCTCAATAATC